CCTATGGTCAGTTCTCTATCATTGCCGTTGGTGCTAGTCGCATGTGTATCTTTTTACGAGTGAATTTGTGAAAAAAGCCAATGTAAGTAATTTTTTGGACTAATAATACAAACCGTATATTTTATCTCAGTGCTAAATTTCAAAAATGCCGTATTATATTTATGATACCCCTACTTAATCTCTAAAAAGTCAACATAACCTTAATAAATTATAAAGTTAGATTAGGTACATATTTTAAAAAGAAAATAACAGGACCGTTTGGGGTAACTTGTCTCACACGTTGTGGGGCAAGTTGTCTTATGTGACTTTTCACCCCGATATTGAAATAAATATAGCTCTAATAGTTATTTATGCGCCTAGGTCAAAAAGTACAGCTTTAACGCCCGCAGCGTGTGTAACAGCCTGAGGCGTTAGCCGAGGGCTGTTTACACGCTGAGGGCGTTAAAGCTCTTTTTGACTGAGGTGCATACAAGATTTTATGCACGATGAGCATGTTTTCATTTTGATATTTAAAAAATTATATATTTTCAATTTTGTAATGACATCAATCAAAAATATTTCAAAATATAAATTTTCATCTTTACCGCAATAGGTCCTAAGTTTTTGTCAAATTTAGATCAAGGAAGCAGTTGTTGACAAAAGTATCACGTAACTATTATAGCAACCCAGAACAATACAAACAAATAATTATGTGCTGTGTAGTGTACGTGTATGGTCTTATGATGGTAGTGCGTCTGAAAATGGAGCAAAATAGCATGCCCAAGTTTATTCTTGAGGCAGTTGAAGGGGCCAAGAAACATGTATACCTTCAAAGTCCAAAAGACTCTATGAAAAAACATATGAGGACTTTATTTCCTGATGTGCCCAACATAGTGTAAATGAGCAGCAGTACTTTGTAGAAGAAACTCTCCTGGCCTGGCATATACATTAATATGAAAAATGCAAAAAAAAAATAAGCCATCCACCCTATGGAGCTTTTACTCAATGTTGAACGCAACAGTTCTTTTGTGTATTTCTGTGGAAAAGGGCCGGTTTAAAAAATTAAAAACTGTAAAAATTGTATTTTCAATTTCAAAGTAGATTGAATTTTACCATTATTGCTTATTTCATTATTCTTATATTAATTGAAGTAAAGCTTGTTTTGTTGAAAAAAGTTGGTATTTTTTGGACTAAGCAATAGAAATACAAAAAGTTTTTAAAAAAATGACGAATTTTTGTTTATTTTTGAAACTTTCAGGCCCGCGGGCATAAAAGGCGCCCTAGGGCGTAAAAGTACTACTTCACGCTTTAGAATGCGGGCGTAAAAGTGCACTTTTACGCCCGTTCGTGCATAAACGGGATTTAATTTTTAGATAGTGCGCGATTACAGGAAAAAAACAGATCGAGGCAGTTTTGATAAGGAAGCGGTGTTACGCAAAGAGAAAAAGTGTAAAGAAGAATTTAACAGGAAATATAAGAGGGTCGAATATAAAAGAATAAAAATGTAAAAAACAAAAAAAGTGCTAAAAAAGGAGTCCTCTGAACAATCAGAGCAAGATGATGATGCACCAGAAGTAACTTTGGATTGAATATGACTTCACAAAAAATTCACAACCAAATTTTGTGACTTTTAGCCCCGGTCTCCCCTATCCCAGGTTTAAATTGTTGTCAACCGAAAGAAAATTTTGACAAGTTGAGAATTTTTCTGTATCTTTGAACCACTGTATCTCAGTTACTATTGCGTTAAGTAATACGTTTGACTAGTGAAATTTGAAAAAAATTTAATGTCCTTCGATTTCATAACTAGGTGTATTCCGCTAAAACGCATGGTTTAGAAAATATAAGCAAAAAACTGAAAAAGTCCAAAAATTTCGTGGTTTTTCGACTCCCCCCAAGCTAGCATAGGGTCCACGGAAAGAAATGCTTTGATAAAATGAATCAAATCGACTTATTGAAATAAGAAATACCATAATCTATGCCAAATAAATTAATTTAATCTAAAATGGAATAAAACAAGAAAAAAACTGACAGATATTAGCGTTTTAAGATTAATCTGCTAATTTCGCTTACTATTAATAACATCAAATTAAAATTAATATCAATAGATACAATTTTCTTGTTTTTATGCTTAAACTGCTTAATCTCATCAATTTTTTTCTTGGGACATCAAAATTTAGATTGATTACAGAAAACGCTTTTCTTAAATCAATCAAACATTAAAAATCGAATTGATGTACCTCCCATGATTAATTTTTGCAAGAAATTTGCTCAAATTAACTCTTAGATTATATTATTTTAGCTGTATTTGATAATAGTTTAACTAAAGGATAATATCTGATTTATCAACAAGATCAATTTGAGAAATTGAGATTCCTAGTGTCTGGTAAAATAAGTTCTATCAAAGTTATCTCAACAAGCATCATAGTCAAATTTTTTACATATTTCACAGATCTATACATTTCCAAATCGAATCATTTAGGAATGAATTACTAGGTACATTGATTTAAAATATTTTAGGTTTCAACACAGAATAATATGGGCATTAATTTACTTTTGATCTATATGGTTTTGATGGGATCAATAAAATAAATGCTTAATATCTATGATATTTTAAATTAATGTATTCCTGTCTGGATTAATTTATTCATAGAATTTACTGAAATTTAGAAAACAGAAAAAAACAGTGAACTGAAAACAATCAAATATATAACTATTTCTATCCAATTTTTGCTACGATTATCAAATATTTGACCAAATTAATAAAACTCTTCTAGAATCGAGCCATTATTTGGCTTAATCTATAATATAAGGAGTAAATCAAGCAAATACCTATAAGTTTTTCTAACGGTTTTGGCTACTTGAGTTATTTTTCATTTGAAAATATTTTAGTGTGTGGTGTTTTGTTGGAGGAAGAACGTCTCTCCTGTTTATGTGGAGTGCACGCCGCACTCGGTCCACAGAAAAAACTTGTCTAAGTTGTCTTTGTGTATTTTTTCGTACTCTCGCACCCGTACTCGTAGTGCCACGCAGTGCTAACTGGCAATAATAAATTATTGAGTTTTGTGAGTGATATTTGTGATATTTGTTTCTTTATGGGAGAGAAATTGAAATTTCCAGTAGAAATGAACATTTCATCTGTATTTTTGTAAAAAAAACCTACTAATAACATAGGGTGTTACGGAGTTTTGGAATTGTGTTTTTTATTTATATACAAGGAAATTTATATTTTTAATTTGGTTCCTGTAAGCTGATTAATTTGCTTTCACACTAAAGACTTATAAGCGTATGCAACAACATCTTTTAATTTTAAAAGCACTTTTAGCCTATTTTGTCACTTTTAAAAAAAATTATTCTTAAGCAATTGACTTTCAAAGTCGCTTTTAAAGTTGAAAGAGGATGTTGCATACGGCTGTTATTATTTTCTTATTATCTATAAACTATAAGGTATAAATTGTATTCCTTTTGAGAAGGTTATTTAGGTTAAGTAAATAGGAGATAATAATAATTTAGTATTCAACATTGTAAACGAATGCAGAATAAATAATAATTAAACCGAAATCTCATTTTATTGTTACTATTTTCCCACCACCACCGCTAATTACGAAAATCAATTGGCCAGCAATCAAATATTGAATGCACATAATCAAAAGATTTGATAAGTTGCACTCAATTATTAGATATATAACATCAAAATATTGCAAGAAGTAATCAAATTATTTGATAAATTTTATCCTAATTATTTGTCAATTTGCTATCTTTCGTCATATCTTTTTCTAAAATCAATCATATATTTAGCAAATATTATCTACAATCAACTTGAACTGATCCAAAAATTGCTTGATACTATTCAACACTTAGCTAAATTTAAGAATATATAAATTATATTCAGGAATATCCTAGACAAATTTAATTTTATTTTTGCTAATAATAATCAAATTTTGGTTGTTATTTATTGGAACTCATTTGCTGCTACTTATCATGGTTTGATATATTTTAGCAGATTTTAGCTTAACAAGTAAATCAATCCAATCATTTATCGATATTAATCTAAATTTAGATTGACGCTATATTGATCAAAAATTTGATTGTAATACTACCCTACTGGATTAATAGTATCCAAAATTTCTTTCCGTGTCCTTCAGGTCGAAAACTCAGATTTTACTCCACAGAATACCTACAAATGACATACCAAAATATCAACTTCGGAATACTTTCCAGCAGAAAGTACTTGCCTGCTGAACTACAGTGGGAGCACTTCACTAAAGTGACTAGAGTCGATAGGTCACTGAATGAAAATTTACTATTTTTACCGGTACTTTTCGCTCGAAACACGAAAAAAATAACCGCTGTGACCATGTAGCAGCCTGTGGTACGCTTACCTGATATCAACTGCTAGACCCTGCGCCGAGGGCTGTTATCCCGACTCTCGAGCGGCGTTGCCGACTCAAGTACTCTATGTTACACAAATCAACCTACTAGACACATAGGCAGTAATGAGACGAATTAGCTTGTATCCGTTCTAGGCTGCCGAGTATAGCCGAGTTGCAAGAATTTTAATAACATGACCAATGATCCACCGCGATGATCCTCATGCACTGAATTGGGTATGAGTCAACTTCTCCCATTGAAGCTTATGTGTCTAGTAGTTCGGTCCTGTCTGTATACCTGTTTTGAAAAAGTAACCCAATCTGCCGCTGGCCATTTCCAAATTGTTAAATGTTTCTGTTAAGTAAGTAGGTATAGCTTTGTTTTATGAATTGGGCTGGTACCAATGTATATATCCATTCACTCACCAATACATTTTTATGTGTGGACTATAACACATAACATTGAACCTGTAAATGTGAATGTAAAATAAAACACAAAAAATTAATAATCAATATTACATTTATTTAAATAATTTACATTTCACTTGCCTATATACAAAACAACAATCAATTTTTCTTTATAACATAACTAAGTACAAAAATAACCAAAAAACAAATCGGGTTAATTATTTACAAATTTATTTAAACGTTAGTGCAGTATTTGGCTCTAAAGAAACACAAAAAGAAACAAAAGTACGTAAAATATTACTTTGAACTATTAAAATAATTCGGATACATTTTTTCTTCATAAATTTAAAAGCACTTAATTTGTTTTATAAATTTTCATTTATTACTATAATAATTCTATCAACTATAATTCCTTTGCGCCAGAGCCACAATACAAAAAAGGAACAATCAACACATTTCCTACGTCAACTAAAGAAAACCTTTCATAATAATACTGGTCTTTTCTTACAATTAAACACAATAGAGGATTTACATCCCATTATAGCATACATAATAAATAAACTAACATTTTTATTTACACGAAGAATCTTACAATGTTGTATTTAACGTCAACTCTCTGACTCTTTGGTTTAACTAAATCCAAAAAACCTCGTTATAAGGTGCTATTATCAGTGACCTTGTCGAGAACTGGGTGATGGAGCTCCTGACCGAGATAATGACGAAGCATAAGGACTAAACCTATGGTGCATTGTTGATGCAAACATTGGTTTTGGCAGTCTTAATTCTGACGAAGTCATTGAAGTGGGACTGGGTGAGCCAGAAGAACTAGGCGTAGACGCCGGCGGAGGAGTTATTTGAGGCCTGGAAGACCCCAGTAAACCAGGCGGAACGCTTTGATGAATAGGATTCTGCCACAAACCTCCAGTTTGACTCCACAAATGACTGGAGAGGCCAAGAGGCACCGGCGATCTTTGGCCCAAAAACATTTGCTGACTGGAGCTGTTTAGTAGAAAAGCATGCAGTTCACTTGGATTGTAAGCAGCTGCGGCACCAGCTCGGTTCCACATTTGGAGATGAGCTCGTGCCTTTTCGACCATTGCAGCGGAAAAGAAGGAGTTGGCGTTGTTGTTTTCAGCGTCCATACCGTCGCCGCTGTAGAGTCGTAAGGAGGAGCGGAGGAAGTGTTGGTCCATGAAAATGCTGTCCATGGGTTCTCTGAAAACAAAGAGAAATAGGTTAGTTTCGTTTTATTTATATCATTGGGCTGAAGTTTTTCTCAAACTACTAAACAAGTTACATTAAATGTATGTATTTTGGCGTATAGATAGCGCTTATAACAATAGTCCTCTCAACCTTTTTAATTACATACAGTAGATCAATGAGAAGCTGGAGAAGAAGTGACGTAGACGAGGAAATTGAGGAACGGAAATTTGGTGGAGGATGCTCGGAATGACAGATATATGGTTGGAGATGTAGGAATGTCAGCGTTAATGAGTCTAGTTCGGTTTTTTCAGAATACCTGCACTAATTACCTACGTACTCCCGGAATAAAAAACGAGCTACCACCTTGCAATTTTCACTGCCGAAATGACAGACAACGTTCCGGCTACCGATGCCGTTTACGACATCATAAAATTTCAGTGCCCTCAATAACGATAATTATTTTTCAGTTTGAAAAACAATGGCTTCTTATTTGCCAAGTCATTTCAGATTTTTAATTTGAAAAGGTTTATGACACCGGAGTTTTAAGTTGTTTTTTTAAAGAAAAACCAGTACGGCTGGTTCATAGCATTAATTTCTAAGATCGATGTCCAATCAATGCCTGCAAAAGGAAGTTTTTAATATCTCCTGTCGCTATTACCATAATATATGCTTGAAGCTTCTCATTAAAGCCGTTGATTACCTACTTCGAGAACTAGGTAAGAACAGAACCGAATACAAAAAAATCAGGTGGTTAATACCAGCATCCCGGAGCGCGTTCCTTTTTTTTTTTTTTTTTCATCAATTAACAGCAAAAGTGTTCGCCGCCTCCAGCCTCCAATGCCGAATAAAAAAAAGCTCCGGCTCATTTCAGTTATGATAGAATTTAATTTACCTGTTTTGAATGTTCGCTGCTCGGAGGCGTATCTCGATACGCCGCCCTGTAATTTGAGACAATCGTTGTCTTCACGAGAGAGAGCCGCTTTGATGATATAATGAAACCTGCATTTTCTCACACCTCAGGTAGTGTTTTCCCGGTTATTTTCTGTCTTCTTAGACCGACTTTAATTACCTAACTCACCGATTGATGCAATTTTTGTGATTGGGCTCAACTGCTAGTTATCGAATTATTGGAAATTACGCTTTTAATGCCCAGACATAGTTATGGTTTTAATTGAATATATATTTCCATTTTAAAACACTATTACCATTGGTTCAAGATTATATTTCACATAAACGCCTTTCTGTCATTGCTTAACTACCTTTGATGAAAGGAAAAGCAAAACTCAAAGTCAAAGTCTCAAATGTATCAATAGTTAGGGTTACACGTGTTTTGTCTCATTAAGGCATCATCAGACCTGAATGAAAGGAAAAATATATATAAACAAGTTAACAACTTAAATTATACAAGAACTAACCTAAACGCATCAAAGTTAAAAGGCACACGGTGCACAAGCAGTCTTTACGATATGTGTACTATGGTGGTTATTTGTAGTTTTATAGGCAATAGAAATGTCAAATTTCTTGAAAAAATTGATTAGCTTTACAGAAATGTCCCCAAAATATGTAAAACATCTGAAGTTATTCGATTTCTTGTCCTCTTCTTGGTGGATAAGATTGTAGGATAATTTGAACTTGTTAACAAATTTGTAATAAATCAGCATGAACCCATAGCCAAACCATTCAGTTGTCTAAAGAACTTGTTGTCAAACTTGAAAAGGTTTTGTTCTAATACTGTAGGAAAAAGGGTTAGTAGATTCTCCATAACTATGCCCCAGGTATTGATGTTTTCATTTGTAGTTTTCTCATCAGAAACAGGCAGTCAGCAGGTGGTATGCTTGGGAACAAGTTTTTAATATCAAGAGACAGGATGAAAATGACATCCTGAGGAAAATCCACAGATTTCATATACCTGAAAAAATCAATGAAATGTTTTGTTGCATAGGGGCTACTAAAACCGGTGATCTCTCTCAAAATACAATTCAACCATGAAGGAAGTTTATAACATGGGAAGTCCACAACTGACACAACCAGCCTTATAGGGCTTCCACCTTGTGGCCCTAGAACAAACCATCAGAAGGGGTGTCCTCAGGTTCACAGGATAAAGCTTGTCCTTACTGATTCCAAAATATTCTAGTGTTATTCTGGTTTGGTCCAAAATGTTTTCAAATTTTGAAAAAAATGCATTAGTTGAGTCTTTGTTGATCACAGAGAAGTCATCCGTGTTCAGAAAATCCATAGCTTTAGCGATATAGTCCATCCTCCTCATAATGATTAGGCAATAACCCTTGTCGAGTATCAAATCATTTTGCTTCATTTTGCATTGTAGGCTAAGGTTTCTCGGATTTTTCTATCTATCCTATGGGAGATATTGTAGTTTAATTAATAATTCAAGACGTTCTCCTCCCCCGAAGTGAAAATTACATTAGTGAGGTTAAGGTATCTTTTGTGGAAAGAAAAATTGAAATGTCCTAACGAACGCTGGAATTCCCTTCTATCCATCATGCCAAGTCTCGATGTAGCTGACTCCTTAAGGCAGCGGATTTTATATTACACAGTGTGGTTTTCGTCCAGGAATATGTTAATGAAAAGTCGGTTTTCGGCTTATTTGGACTTTATTTAATGAAATATCTAAATCAACAGCCAACGTTTCGACGCATTCCGCATCATACTCAAGGCTAGATTATTAAAGCTATGAATCGCATCATTCGGACCGATTCATCAATAACAACAAACAAAAAAGTTCACACACCAAAGAGCGGTACTATTGCTTGCCGTGATGTTTCGGTACTGATTACCGGATTTTATATTTTCCAGACGATGAAAGCTATTCCTCCCAAATTCTTCGACGTTATCCCTAAACTCTATGTCCAAGTAGGAAAAATGTATAAAAAGTAATAAAAAGGTGAGAGTGTATTTCAGTTTGGAGTTCACGGTCTTTAAGCTTCTGTAGTCGCACTTAATATCTTTGATGATTCTATGAACATGGCATGAGTAGCTACAATTAGAAAAACATCTTGCTGTTTGGTATCAGAATTTACTGGCGACTGGCGCCAATGAACCAATGATTTCACTAGGTGAACAAAGTTGGGTAACTTAGCAGAGCATTATCACTGTATTAAGTAGTGTGTATACACCCTCTTGACCAACAAAATGGTCAACGGCATAAGGATACAGAAGGCAATGAGAAACCACTGTATTAAAGATATTCAAGTTTCTCCAGAAAAATCACCATGATATTGACACCTCAATTGCAAAATGTTACTAATCATGGAAATCGGAAACCAAGATTTGGCAGGGGAGGAGAAATACACTCACAACACGAGGCCTCTCAGGTCGTAAGCCTACGAAAACCTCGTGAGAGAAATCGACGGATGAAGAGATCCGATCTGAAAATAGGAACATCCCAGCAAACACACTGACGTCGATATGACGACATTTGACGTGATTTTGCATGGTCTCCGACGTCATGGTACCTAATAATGACGTCAATAAATACGTCATTATTAGGTCATCTTAATTCAACATGTGACATTTTGACGTCATTAAATGGTAAGGAAAAGACATATCTATTTTGTCATCTATATCAGTTTGCTATTTATAATTTAGCCGCCCTATAGTTGATCAATAATTTTAGTAGGTAGGTATTAATTTATTGAATCTCGAATAAACGGAAACTTTCTGCCTAATTAAATATAATTCCATTTTTTTAATTATTTGCTATTTACCCAAAGGTATACATACATTACATCCACAAGGAAAATATAAACATACAACATACTTTAAATTACCCGCTCACAAATGGCATTCGGAGTCCATCTTGATGGACAGCGCCGCACGCCGGCGCGTGGTGAAACCTGAAACCTGATGTTGCCTATTGGCGCCGTGCCGTTGGCAGAGGTGGACGAGGTGCCGTGCGGATGACTGCGAGAGCGAGATCATGGGAAACCGAAACACGAATAATAATTTCTCTTTTATTTACCTACCTCGTACCTCTATACCTACTTTATATTTAAGTGTATTGTGAAGAGTGATTATAGCTTTGTGGTAGTGTCAAAAATGGCATTTTTTGGTGTGCAATTTGTGTGTGAAAACAGTTATTTCTGTAGTGAATAAAAATTGGCTGTCACCGAGAAAACATGTTGGCTGGCCGCCATTTAAACTCTAGTTTGCAGGTGGATTAGTAGAAATAGCGTTTAATCCACCTGTACAGGCTACGTAATCACCCTGTTTAGTTCTATAGTTTATTATCGACGTTTTTGAAATAAAAAAAAAATGAAAAATTATTTGTTTCGTGATTTTACCGTCACAGATTACGTCATATATTCGTCATAAGTCCCTACTAAATCACGTCACAGAAAGACGTCATTTTGTCGTAACATAATGACGTCATGGGACTGCGACATTAACCCGTCATTTTTTCGTCAAAATGACGTCATCTTTTTCGTCCCAATGACGTAAATGAAATCCAATTAGTCACGTCATTATGACGACAGCGTGATTGCTGGAATATTCGAACACTTTACGATGCGGGAATATTGGATTGAACAACATACTCTTGGAAATGCAATGAATGGGGTGTGTGGAACAAGATGGCCGGTTGCAACCAATTTCGACTCAGGAGACTTCACAATTTACACATCCGGAACGAGAGATGCATCTCATAGAAACGGAGTGACTATAGTACTAAATAAATCCTTCAGCAGATCAGTACGAAGCTTTGTACCCGAGTATCAGACCGAGTAATGCTACTACAGCTGGCGATGAGACCTGTAAATGTGAAAATTATAGACCCCTACTACTGACCACGATGATGACGGTGTCGAAAAGTTCTACCAACAAATTAAAGACATAATGAAGACGACGAAAACACAAAAAATCACTTTATCCAACACTTGCTAGTTATAAAGTCATTATTTGTGCCAATTTAGACAGGTAAACTATCAAATAACAGACTAGTGTGTTATAAACCATAACTCACTAGTGGGTTATGGTTTACAACTCACTCTGCTATA